CTCCCAGCAGCTTCTACTGAAGCCTTCAGAGTAAATCGCCAGAACGTCGACACCTCCTCATCTCCACCGCTCCCATGTTTTATTTTGTGTTGTCATAAGTATTTCTCTCTCCGTTGGTGCGCTGTGCTAATGCTAATGCTAATCATGCTAATGCGAGGATAATAAAATGACGGCTTCACAAAACTTTTTGGGAGTTTTACGGGGCGTGGTTTGCAATCCGCCCAGCCAATCAGACAAAGGAACCTTTTTCTCCCACGAAAGTCCCTGCTCTCTAGCAGGGACGGAAAGGGGGTAAAAAAGTTCTGATGAACTCATTTTAGTTCCGGATTTTCAGAACTATATCAGAACTAAAGTGGGAAAAGTACTGCGGTGTGAACGCGCCTATAGATGATGGCTTAACGCGTGCTGCTTGAGTAGTCGATTGGCTGCCTGAGAGATGTGGCAAGTTCTACTTTTTCTGTGAGTAAAAGTAGATTTCTGGCAATACAGTCAATCATTATCCTGGTGATTCTTTCGCAGATAAACCTATTAACCCGCCCCCTTAAAACGGCTCTTTTGAACGGCCCTCGGAAAGGAACGGAGCCATAAGATCCAGCTCCCTTCAAAGTGCCATAATTCCTATCACCACTTAATTGGGAACAACTGATCCCAGATATAAAACAGTACACGCCACATCACTTTTGTCCACTTGCAGCTCTGATTTCTATGACCTAGAGACAAGATTGTAGAGTTTTGCAGCTGTCAGATTCACGGAAAACAGATCTTCCACACTGCGGTGAAGAAAGAGCTGCCAGCATTGAACTGTAATTTGTATTTGGCTCAAATGTTCTTCTTCCTCACGCACGCAAATGCAGTTTGTTGAGTCCATGGAGAACAGTTTTGGATTTAGTTTCATCAGAAGGTGGTGAGTTGAGGGGTTTTGTTATACTTGTATGCTCCATGGGTTTCATTAAACTGCAGTATAATACTCTTTCCCTGTGTTCATTTGACAAACCCGATGAATAATGGAGGCCAACTGCAGCCAAACAAAGCACTGGTTTCATTAGGCTCTTGTTTACTGGATGTATGCCTGTTCTGGTTTATGTTGAACACACCTTTACTTCTCCATGACAAATAAACTTTCCCAACGACTTTTATGCAAATCGGCGCCAGTGATTTGAATAGAGAGTCATCGGACCCTCGCTCATGATTACTTTAGATAAACCAAGTCCTTCCTCTTTGGATGGGTGCTCAACATTTGCATAAGCCTGTTTAAGTTTGGGGACTTTTTCCAAACCTTAGGAAGTACAAAAACATATCGGAGAAATCCACGCAGCGTTTAAAAGGTTTCATCACAGTTTCCATCCACTCCTCCAAAACAAAAAAATCCAGCTTGGCAGTCGCACCAATATAATTATTTGTCCTTTTTGGATGGAAATCACAACGGTTTGTTAGATTTGCATAACGTCTCCCCCCCTACCAAGGGAACAAAGCAAGGTGGGGGGGGGGGTTCGTCTCTACGTCCTCCCCCTCCTCCTCATCAACATGTGAAGTGTCTGTTGTCAATGGCGGAGGGGATTTACTCTCACAATAAAGACAGATGCCACCTTTTATCTGCTTAACGGAACAGAGAGGGGCGCGTGGCACTTGTTGTTGGCGCGTAATGACGTGCTGCCTCGACACACACACATGCTGAATGGACTTGTTCTTTTTTTAGCATGATGGGGCCGTGGGGGAGGTTTTTTTATTTTGGGGATGAATTGGAGGTTCCCCCCCCAACGACACTTTGGGTGATTTCTCTTTCTACCCCGAGCAGCCTTTTGTTTGTCCCGTATGAATACAAGAGGATAAATGGACCCACAGGAGAGGAGGGTCTCAGCAGATCCGGGGTTGAGTCTGAGCTCCTCGTGGTGACACACTTTTAAACATTTAATCCAGTGACCACAGGCTGTGATCACCTCTGATATCGGATATATAGTCAAAAAGTAGATTTAAAATACTTACGTTTGCCTCCAATAATACTTTTACAGTGTGGTTTGGTGTTAAAGATGATTAGAAAATTAGATACGTGTGAATGTTTGCCACATGGAAATTGATATGTTGCACTAATGCGGAGGAAAGTAAAAGCTACAAAAGCATAAAATGAAAAAAAGTTCGACATTTGACTGAATGTAGTGTTTTTATGTGACATTATTCCGTTTTATGCATGGAACATTGAGTCTGACACTATTTGTTCATTTCCCCATAAAAATACCACTTACAATGTTTGTTTTTGTATATTTCTGCAAGGATGTCAAGCCTGCATTGTTTTATGACAGATTTAAATCCAGCCAAAACCACTTGTGTGACCATAACTCAACATAAGAGCACAAAAAGACTCCAAACAGGAAGTATTTTAATGAAGTGGCTGTGATGATTTCTGACATTTTTAGCAGAAGTCGTTGATATTAATGATGGTCTTGGAGTTTTCCCTCATGTGAAATTTGTTTTAAGAAGATGGTTTATGAGTCACACACACACACACACACACACACACACACACACACACACACACACACATGACTCACATTATGTTCTAACAACCTGACAAATTAAATCACTCAGTGCATATTCACCAGTGACTCTAATCACACGAGGACATCTCAACAAGAACATCAACATGTTGTTATGCAAATCATTCACAGACCTCCAGTGTGTGTGTGTGTGTGTGTGTGTGTGTGTGTGTGTGTGTGTGTGTGTGTGTGTGTGTGTGTGTGTGTGTGTGTGTGTGTGTGTGTGTGTGTGTGTGTGTGTCTCTCTCTCTCTCTCTCTCTCTCTCCCTCCCCCCTCTCTCTCTTCCCCCCCCCCTTCTCCCTCCCTCCCTATCTCCCCTCTCTCGGGGTGAGTGACACAGACAAAGACTGAGTGCTCTGAAATGGTCCATTTGATTCCTGGTGGTGTTTCCTTCAGAGTGAGAAACATCTGCCCTGCGGAGCGGCTCCGTCTAAACTCTGGAGGCTGGATTCACCCAAATATCGGAGTTGGAGAGACCATGTTTTATTCCGCAGAAGTCTTTTAGGAAACCACAGTGGGGGAAAACACAGGTGAAAGTAATACAATGAATGATGGCTTGATGGCATTTAGCTGCTGGAGTTTCAGGGTCCAGATATGTTGGTTGGCAACTCACTAAACATGAACATATAGGCCTACAAATTGTACAAACACAATAAGACAAAATAAGTTATGTTTCCAGAAACAAACCTGCACAATTCTGCAAAACCCTGAATTATATATTAGGCATTTATCATTCCAGTTCATTTTCATCATCCTCATTTGCAGCAGTTTCTGTCACTGTGGAGGTCTCAATATAAAAAAGTTGTGTGAATATAAGCAACTTTATTCCAAGAACTGCATGAATCTGTCCCACTAGTTGCTAAACCTTAGATTGAATGCCCAATACTTTCATATTATAATTATCAAAGCACCCACAACCTTTGTTTTCTACCTTGCTATGTGTATTTACTGTCTTGATTCAATTTGTCAAAATCAGTTTGGACACGCCCCTCGACCAATGAGATCGCTCTTCCCGCCTCCATCCGGATCCTTTGGAAATCCGCTTCCTTGTTTTGGGATGGGAACACACACACACACACACACGGCTTGTCAGAGAGCAGAGAGAGAACTTCTCACTGAGGAGCTGACAGAGTGTGTGTGCGGATCTCAGCCTCTGGTTCTCGGAAAACTCCAGAATAACTTCCCTCCGACTCCTCTGAGGAAACGTTGGACTCTCCGGACTGTTTTCATCTTTATTTGACTCTTCTGGACTGCACCGGGCTTCTCTCACAGGTTTGTGTGTTTCTTCTTTCAATGCATTTTGAAAGTACAGGACTTGTTGACATTGTGTAAATCTGGAAGTGTTTACATAACATTTTGAATAAGGTCAGGCTTTTTTTTTTGCATCCACCTGAAGTGTTTCTGCTGCGAAAGCATGCGACATTTGCATTTTGTATTTGATTTGTAAATATACCCTTAAAGGAAGCGGGTTTGCATGCTTATGTATGCCCACGTGATAATATAAACACATGATACTTGCAGACATACTTGCAAAACAAATACAACGTGGAAATGAGCTTTTAATGGGGAAAAAATATAAATATTTCAGTAAAAAAAAAACATGTTTTGTTATTTAAAGTGTGTTTGCAATGTGCATTCTCACTTCATTTAAACCTTAAACCAGTGAAAATGTGATACAAGTATTTTTTAAACAGTCATTTGAGTTTTTTCCAAGTTTTCCAACATGCAACAACTTCGCTGACACTCTGTTTTCCCTCTTTTTTCTAAATTGGCTTCTCATTAACCGTCTTCAATATGGAGTTGGAGGCAATTCAATGAAGTGGTGAATGCGTCACGCTGGGGAAGCATATGGTGCGTGTCGGTGGTGTGTGTCTGTGTCTGTGAGGGACAGGCTGACGTTTCAATTGGCTCGTCACGCTTTAATTGAGTAATTGAAACCTCTGGTGTGTGTGTGTGTGTGTGTGTGTGTGTGTGTGTGTGTGTGTGTGTGTGTGTGTGTGTGTGTGTGTGTGTGTGTGTGTGTGTGTGTGTGTGTGTGTGTGTGTGTGTGTGTGTGTGTGTGTGTGCGCGCGCTATATGCTTATGATATAATGTTACCAATTAGTGTGTGTGGATAGTGAATTGATAATGAGGACATTTTAGTTCCTGCTAGATGTCAATGTTAACATTTTAAGGACTCTAGGTTTATGTTTGCAAGGGATGAAGACCATGTGATCTGATAGAAACCTCCAGAACAACTACTAAATGGACCTCGATTAAGAATAAACGTTATCCTAGGAGTTTAGCGTCTTAATTTGACTATTGGAAAAAAATGTATGCCCCAACTTAAAGTGTAAAATCCTTACATTTAAGAAGCTGAAATGAGAGAATATTAGGCTTTTTGCTTCATAAATGGCTTCAAATATGAATGATCTGACTAATGAAATACATGACTAATGGCGTTATTGTATTTCTGTTCATCTGTTTTGCTTCTAAAAAGTGAGTTTGAAGTGATGCACTTATCCCAAAGCTTCCCATTCACTGTAATGTTTCTATAATTAGGTAGGCGAGGAGAGTGCCGTGTTGTTCTCTGTCAGACTCTCTGCTGATAATTAAAATTAAAGCAGAGCACTCCACGGCCAAGACGGCTAATGAAATCATTTACAGGGAGACTGAAGCCCATTTTCACAAAGTCATAAAACAGCGTTGGGAGAACACAATGTGTCTGGTCAGCTGTGAACAGGAAAAAACATTGACTCTCGTCCAAACGTTTCACACGGCATCCTTCCTCATGTTATTACGAGCAAATCTTCAGCCAAAAACAAGCATGATGAGAACAACTCTCCGTTATTGACTCCCTCCGGTCATTTGAATGTCTCCTGAGTGCTTGTAAATGTCACGTTGACTCAGTTAAAAGGCTGAAATTGACACTTAATTTGGTCAGGGAATGGAATAAATGGAGTAGCTTGTGTCGACAATTTGATTCGACCGTTAAGATATTCTTTTTAAAAAAAAAATGAACTACGCGTCGTTTAGCAAGGTTTGTAAGTTTAGTAAGTGGTGTTTTTAACGTAAATTCTTCAAAATGACATGAGATCACCCGCAAGTGTATCACTGGAAAGCAAATAAATGCCTCATGTATCCAAAAATGTGACAGTCAACTCCGACGTCTTTGATAAATATTCAACGTTTCTCAACGAAATACCTAAAAGCACGTGTTGCAAATTGGATGCACGCTGAGATGATCTCCTCCACCGTCACAACATGTTATGTTTGAGGAATATCACAATCCTTAAAGAGCCGCGTTTCCTCCTCTGTGCCCTCGGAGGAGAATGTGAGCGGTTTTTAATTTGTTTGTGTCTCCTGGACTCAATGTGCTGGAAAGCTGTCGAGCAGAGGCACCATGTGCAGCCTGGGCTTGACAGTAATCAGTCAATGAATAATGAACACACACACACACACACACACACACACACACACACACACACACACACACAGACCTGCCATTGACAGCTGTTTGGTATCTTTGTGTGTGTATTAACTCTATCAGTGGAGTGCAGCTGCATGCCTGCCTGCCTGTAGCAATTATGTTCTCGCTAAATAAGAGCCAGCGCTGGGAGGAGGGGGTGTGTGTGTGTATATTAAGTGATTAACTTATGTGTGTGTGTGTGTGTGTGTGTGTGTGTGTGTCAGCTCGGGGACTTTAACATGAGCCTCCAGGAGTCTCACATGCACACTGGGAAACACACTTTTTATTTTTTGACCTCCACACACATCTCAGTGACATTTTTCTCAGTGTGTCAAGCTTTCCACAACACACACACACACACACACACACACACACACACACACACACACACACACACACACACACACACACACAGAGAGAGAGTCAGACATATGCAATGCTCTGTGTATTTATCCTGCCATGTGACCCAATCACTCTTTGAGGTCCTCAAAGGCTCTGTTGTGCTATGAACTCCATTCACACACACACACACACACACACACACACACACACACACACACACACACACACAGACACACACACCTCATAAACACTCACTAACCCCGTTAGTACCCACAGGCCTTCTCCCCACAGCCTTCTCATGCTTAATTTGNCAGACATATGCAATGCTCTGTGTATTTATCCTGCCATGTGACCCAATCACTCTTTGAGGTCCTCAAAGGCTCTGTTGTGCTATGAACTCCATTCACACACACACACACACACACACACACACACACACAGACACACACACCTCATAAACACTCACTAACCCCGTTAGTACCCACAGGCCTTCTCCCCACAGCCTTCTCATGCTTAATTTGCTGCTCAATAGGTCAAGAGTAAAAGCAGACATCAAGCGAAAACAGACACACACACACACACACAAAATCCGTCTCGAACACGTCGAGTCATGCGGCTGGCCGGCATGTTTTCCAGACAGTCACGACTGTCAGTGATTTAAAGAGTCATACGGACATGAGTAAAGCCGCTCCTAAGTCAACAACGCCTTCATTGTTGGTGCGGTTTGAAGCCGCCACATGTTTGTCAGGAAAACGCTTTTTAATGACCACTTACGTTATTTGTCATCCGTTGTTTGGTGAACAAACTTTTTCAGGAGCGGAGGACGTATTCAGATCATAAGTAAAAGCAGAATTACCACACTCTGTTACAAGCTATTTAAAACTGTGGAAACAAGCAATGTGGAAAGTACAATAACAAAGCCCCTTGACAATAACTTTATTTATTCGGCTGTCAAATGCTTAAATAAATGATTGAATTATTTAAATATTGACAATTGGATGTAACCCAGAAACCAAAGGCGGATAAGGAGGAAAGTCCCTGCCACCAAACAACAGAAATATTAAGCAAATACTACAGTCCAGTGACTCCGCCAAGTTAATGTGAAGCATACACACAACTCAATTATTTCCATGACGACAGATTGCAGAATATGAACATGTGCTCGCAAGAGATTGATTCACACCTGTGTGATAATTACAGCTTTCTATAAACCAGCAGCTACCAATCGTTATGCTAAGCTAGGCTAATCACAGCTGATACTAGCTTCATACTCAGTACACAGATATGAGATTGGTATGGATATATTTCAAACTTTTCCCTTGGAATTATTGCGTGTATCAATTCAGTATATTCTGGTTTAAACTGCGATGTGTTTTTTCCGGGTCCTATGAAGTGGATGTTATCTGTAGGTATGATATAACCAAATACATATGAGTCCACGCTACAATAAAAAGGGTATACACTGAAGTTATAAAAACATTTTCATTTCCTCGATTTACTTTACGTCAGATCAACAGATTCTTTCCAGATATCTCGTTTACATTTCATTACATCTCTTTTCTCTTCCTGCAGGCTCTGGTGTTTTCCTGGTGATGACCTCACTGCTGTTTCCTGCCCACGCTGCGATGAAGGACCTCTCCTCTTCCTCCTCTCCTCTCAGCACCCTGCTCCACTACCCGAACTCCAAGTCCTCCGTGGCACCGTTCTCTCCATCTTCCGGTACCGCATCATCGCCAACGATATCCTCCAATCCCATCTCCAAACCTCAGCCTTTCTGCCTCCAGACGGGACCTCACCTCATCGCTAGCATGCAGCTTCAGAAACTCAACTCTCACTACCAGAACCTCGCCGGTGCTTCTACGGGACACCAAGCGCCTGGAGGAGCTCAAAGGGGATTCGGTGCCTCGCCTCTGGGCACGGGAAACCAGATTCTGGGCCCCTCTGGAGGTCTGGGTGGAGGTGGGATGGGCGTTGGTATGAACATGGGGAACCAAAGCACCAGCACAGGTGCGTTAATCGATTTTGACCCCGTGGACGAGGAGGTTCTCATGTCACTGGTCGTTGAGCTCGGTTTGGATCGAGCCAACGAGCTGCCTGAACTCTGGCTCGGTCAGAACGAGTTCGATTTCATGTCAGACGTACCGGCCGGATGCTGACCAAACGAGGAGAAAAAAGACTTTCGAGACGCAAAGAGACAAAGAGAGAGAAGACTTTGCTCTGTTTTGTTGGTCCCTTTCCTTTTCTGGGTCCATACAAGTGAAGAGACGCTGAGTCACAAAGAGAAAGACGGATAAGAGAAGACAGCTTTTGTTTTGTTGTTTTTTAAAGCAGGAAGAGAGAAAACTGTTTTTGTTCGATTCTATCAGTGCACTGTTTTTCTCTACGATCAAACTGATGGTAGAAAAACCAACCTGATGGGATTAAGAAGTCTTTTGTTGCCTCGTTGCACTGTTTCGTTCGGCTTAATGAAAAACAGGCTGGTTGGAGACGTTTGGCGCTCTCTGGAAACACCACGTAAAGAAGACGCACCTGTTGGACTTTAACGGTGCTGTATTCTCTTTAAAAAAAAAAAACATGACATTATGGGAGATTTGTGAAGCATGACAAACACTACGGTTCCTGTTTTCTTGAAGGACAATATTAGACTCACGGGAAAGAGAGTCCCGTCTCGCCCTCACACAGACCACAAAGACAGCGATTGTCTGAGAACTGGTTATCTCAATGTTCTGTTCTTTCTTTCCTTTTTTTAGTTTGAATTAACTTCAACCATCTTATTCACAGAACATGTTATTTAAGACAGTGGCTGATATCCATCCGGACTTCTTGACAAGGAGTGCTTCTGTGCCGCGTCTATAATCAGTCTGAACATAATGAATTAGATGAAGGGATGTTGAATCTTTCGGAGCATGGGACCTGAATGGAGTAAATTGTTTCTCTCTCTGGAAGCAGCCTCGTTTAAACCGATCGAGGCCTTTTTGGTCATGTGAGATGCTGATGTATGTTTTGTTTTCTGGCCTGCAGTGTAAGAACATTGACCCGTTTGGTGTCTGTGACCCTTAATAGCACTTCCTCTATCATTAAATAACAAGGTCTTCTCAACCGAAAGGCAATAATAGACAAATTCAAGTGCTGTGTGTTTTTCCTGTTTCACCACTTTCATGTTTGTGTCAAAACAGTTTGTTTAGCCCCAACGGACCTTTACATCATATCAGTGTTCCTGATAAGGAAGTGTTTTCTGTCGGGTCATCGTCAGGCCTGCAGACTGCTGTTTGCACACTTTGCAGGACAGATTTGAAGTTGAACACACACTGTGGTTTGGCTTCAGCAGTGCAGACTTTAGGGTGGTTCAAGTCGGACCAAAGTGAGATAAATAACATCTCAACAAGTAGCATTGTGCCTAACAACCATATTTAAAGACCCCATCCTTGTTGAACAATTGTATACTGAGAAATATCAAAATAAAAGACTATTGTTTTTGATTTGACACTTGCTAGCTAGCTATCGCTCTCTGCTAACATGTGACTTACTTGGGGAAACGTTAGCATTAGCTTGACAGTAGATCTGTATGGAAAGCAAGCGGCAAAACTCTTACAAAAAAACAAACATCTATTGTGAAATATACTTTATAATATCACTTTAAAATAGTAGTTTTACCAAACAATGCCAATTCAAACTCCAGCTTTTTCTGTGGCTCTTTTTTCGATATCATACAAGTAAACATTTAAGCTAACGTGGAAGCTAACACTAAATCATAAGAGCTACTGAGCTCACATATCAAATCAAACTCAATAACAAGATTGCTTGTCTTTGGGTCAAATTAGACCCGTTTCCCCAATTATTTTCATTTTATTTTATTAAAATGTCGAGCATCTGGGGTCAATTTTTGTTGAATTAGTCAAAATCGTTGCCTTTTTTAAACTCAGAAATGAGGTTTGAACTTGTGTAAATGAAGTCTATTGACCGTACATTTAGAATAAAGTTGGCTCAAAAGGTAATTATTTATACTAGATGCTTTAAAAACAGGGAAACCCTGAGGACAAAAGTTGCACAGTTGATAGGAAGACAACACAAGGGTTGAATAGTGAAGCTGAATCCTTCAATACTAAATATCAAAACAAAGCTAGTTCGCTGCAAGTAAATGATATATTTCTAATTTGCATTTCCCTTGTTTGACCAACATGATGCTGCCGTAGTTAACTCTCCATTTACCAGGTGTTTTTTTGCACACTTGTGGTTGGGAAATACCCACGGGTTAAACTGACACCCACACCTCCACCTCTTCCCACCTATGGCAGCTGTACTGTGCTGTTTCAAGCTGTAGATTGATCCACGTTAGCACGGGGGCTCTGACCCATATCTGTAGTGGTAAGAAGAGACGGGGCTCGAACTGTGAAGCGGGAACAAAGGCCTTTCACTCTCAACCTGGTGTGTCTGTCATCCCGGGCATTGTGGGTCTTCTCTTGGACCACACACACATGAAATAACACACCTGTTCATATGCACGCAACACACTGAAACTACGTATAAACTTTAAAGGCATCGAAAAATAAACCCAGCACACATGCACACGCGGGATGGTATTACAGCAGGGAAACGGGAGTAGCAGCCATGAAACAGGCACTTGTTCAGTTACACACACACACACACACACACACACACACTTTACAGGTTGTTGGTTGGTGTGTCTGTGTGAGAAGAGATAGTGATGTCAGAGTGTCTGAAAATGCAATTGTGCGTAAGGGGAAACTAGCAGGTATTACGTCTGCGGGAAAACTGCGGAAAAAACCCGCCGAGACTCATTAATTTATTTAGATTTAGACAGGTCAGTTTACACACACTCAACAAGTCCCTGCACACATGCTTCCAAACATCAATTTTGACGTCGATTATAGGTCTCGGTTACACTCAATGAACTTCCTTTTCCTTTCTTTAATGAAACGCGAGAAGCAGTGAATAATGAAAACCCGATGAAGGAGTGATTTGACAGAATCCTTTCTTTAAAAAAAAAAGGGATTTCCCCGCTTTTATTGAAAGGAATAAAGACGTTTCTCATCGCCTCAAAATCCAAAAGACAGGCGCGCTGATTCACTTATGCTCCATCTCATCGCCTAAGTGGGTCAAAATAACATTCTTCACATTGAGACAGTCTTGTGTTTGTTTCCATCTGCTCGATGTTTGTGTGTGTGTATGTGCGCGCGCGCGTGCGTGCATGTTGTTTTGTGGTCCAGCCTTGATCCCAGCTGAGTGAATGTGTTCTTTTTGTTGTTGCTTTGCCTCCTCCTCCGCCTCCCATGAGAAGTTGCCTAATCGAGATGTTTGAATCTTCTGAGGGTTTTGATTTCCTCTTCTCCTTGACGCCCGATATTGCAGTTTAACCCCGGCGGTGACCTTTTGAACCCAAATATACCTCATAGCTATTTGGTTTCTAATGACAAAAACGTAACTCCACGCAAAAATATTCCTAATTTTTTGTTTAAACCGAGCCTGGAATACCACAAAAGTGTATTGTGGCAACTAAATGATGACAGAAAACTACCTTAAACTGTTTGAATTGCATGGTGTTGGTAAAACTACAAATCTTAAACCCAATACAGATCATTTTCCGAAGTAAACTACAAGTTTTAAGTCTGACTTCCTGTCTTTTTTAATAAAGGTCATATTTTTACCAAGTGCTAATATCTTTGCCATCTAGGACACTTCAATCAACAGAAAACTAACCAACCAGTTTGATAATGGATTTTTTGATACAGCAGAGTTTGCTTATTCCTTAGAAGAAGATGCCACATTCAATAGCCTATTAAGGGCAACAAAATCGCATAACAAAATGTCCTTAACTCTCAAACTAACACGTTAGAGTATATTTCTGTTTAAACCTCACAAAACGGAGATGTTAAGACTATTACACTGTTTTCACCATAACAGGACATACAAACCCTTCCTAATTCACTTGTTTTAGGATGTTGGGATTCTTCCTGCTCTTTGTATCTGCGTCTCATGGTCTCTACAACACATCAAGTGGATTTACGGTTTCCATTTTGACAGCAGTGATTTGTAGCCTCCGAGCCTCAGGGTCATGAAAAATGTTCCGGCACATCAAGGCCCGTGAAAAGCCTCGACATGAGCCGTGATGTATCTGTAAAAGGTCGCTGTTACAAGGTTCCCTCTCCACACGTAATGAAAATGTTCCGCCACTGAGGTCTGCTTGTGAAACTGAAGCAGACTCTGATTGAATCATCATATTCACGTTAAAACATGTGACTTGTTTTTACATGCAGTCTGTTTCCTTTCTTTTATGTTTTTCTAATGATGGAATGAATATTATTCAAAGATGATTTTTAAAGCACTTTTGCTCAACGGCTCTCTCACTTGTACATCTATATGAATATGTAAATGATTGATATATAACAAAAAAAAAGCTTGTATTTTTGTTACGGCTCCGAGTTTTGGGGGGGAAATAAAGAAAGTGAAAATGTAACTGGAGTGAAGGTGTTTCTTTTAATAACAGACAACATACAGGATATGAAGTCAAATGAATATACATTTTTTCCAATTTTCTTTGAACATGTTGGATAGGTTTAATCATATCAACAGATAATGTGCCTTTCATAGACTCTAAAATCATATTAACCAGATAAGGTCTAAAGTTTTCTGAATAATAGCTTCATACATGGAATTAATTGTTTAACCCTGTGTGTGTGTGTGTGTTTTATCTGATCCGGATGGTTACTAATTCCTTTTCTTTATGGCGGTCATCTTTGACCGGGAACACCATGGGTGTTACAAAGTTGACTAAATCATCCAAAATGCAATGAAAGTGGTGATCAGCCATTTTACATGTTCAAATGTCTACTGTGAAGGATATCATAAAGCCTTGATGCAATCGAATGTAAAACAAAAAAGTTATGATTCATGAAAGTATTAAATCGACCGTAGATTTGACCCGAAGACAACAGGAGGGTTCAATACAGTATATTACTATAACTGTAGACATTATGGTGCAAGGCTTCCATCTGGTGGCAGGTAGTGGTAAATACACAATAAACCACCTGGCGTTGAGACACTTTAAAACACCGGGGAAACAAAAAGATATGACACATCTTTTACATTTTCCACGTGAAATAAGACAAACTAAATGAGTGCATAATGTAGTAAAATGTAGTGAAATATAACATTAAAAATGTATGTGTGTGTGTTGTCTTGTGGTCGGGCCTTGATCCCAGCTGAGTGAATGTGTTTTTTTGTGCTTTGCCTGCATATACAATTATGTTTGACATATTTATCTCGATTTTTCTGTCCAATAAAGGTTTTGAAATCAAACTGATAACCTGAAGTGTCAGACTTTAATGCAGTGCTGCCATCTTGTGGTTATAGTACTTCATGGAGATATGTTAACAGAAATGCAGAAACTGTGAATTTCACATTTACTGATGTGCTAATTTGAACTAATCTATTAATTGTTGGGTAGTTTTATCTACAGAAATGCATCTCATTCTGTAAGATCGTCATGTATTTGTCTCAAATTAAACACATCGGGAGGTTTGCAATGTAATCTGATAACTGTCAAACACATATAGTGCAATTAAGAAAGTACAATATTTTCCTTTGAAATGTAGTGGAATATAACATTAAAACGTTTTTTTTAAATCCTCAGATTTCTACTTTAGAACAGTACTCGAGTACTTAGTCATATATATTGGAGGCGCGGGGCGCAGTGGGTTGTGCGTAGGTGTTCGGATCAGGGGGTCACGTGTTCAAACCCCACTGCAGTCAGCATGTCGTTGTGTCCCTGAGTCACTTCACCCCAAATTGCTCCTGTGGGGATTGTCCACAGTATTGAGTATGTAAATCGCGTTGGATAAAAGCGTCTAACAAGTATCATGTAATGTAATGTTCACTGTTAATGGAAAAATAGTGAGGCCTAAATGGAGAGAATAAAGGAGAAGAAATACTAAAAAGAGCAGTGATACATTAGGAATATACTGTTATTAATATAACGAGTGAGGCGTTAGCAACAGCTGTACACAAAAGTAAATAAAACAATGGATGCTAATAACTAAGAACGACTATTAAACCATGGTCTGTTTTGTGCACAAAGTGGGAAAAGTTTTAATTAAAGGGAGGAACTTGCTGAAGTGTGTGCGTGTGTGTTTCTAACATGAAATCCATTTTAATCCATGCATGCTGTTTTCATTCATGCGATCAGCTGGACTTAATTACGCTCTATTTCTCAAACAACATTGCGAGACTTAAGACGGTCGGTTTAAACAAACGTCGCCTCCTTTATTCCTTCAACTTTTAGTAACATGAGCCCAGAAATGTGTCTTCAATCCAAAATAACTTCCTGGAAAGAAGCGGTCACCGGCAGTATTTGTTAGGAAAGGGGTCAGGAAATAAAGGTGCACGGCTTGATGTGATGCTACACTGCTGGTCTTTGCAAAAATGTAAAATGTGCTGAATTAAATGTAGGTCAGTGGGTTATTCTCCACTTGATAAACTGCCCTGAAAACAAACGTGTGCACACGCTAAAGAGCTAGCTTTCAATAAAAGGAAATGAAATGGGTCACCAGAGATACATGTGTGAACTGCAGGAACGTTATAAATAGGTTTGTTGCTGGGTTTTGGCATTTGTTCCTGGGGGGAAGCAGCGTTCAGAGATAGAAAGATGGCATGTGTGCATCAGTAGGAGTGATTTGGCAGAGGAAGAAAAGCCCCGGAGGAGATGTATCTCAATGAGTGTAAACAGGGCTCTGCCTGTCACACTGGTATTTCCTGAGGACAGCAGCACAACACACAGGAAGAAAGAGAGAGCGGAGGCACTGTCAGAGGGCTACATGCAGGGAGTATGTGCATTTCAATATTTAGCTTAATCACTCATGCTCAAAGAGTGATTGAGGCTGGAGCCACACGAGGACGATAACGCAAAAGTCTTCGGTCCACACGCAATAGGCAGAAACGTGTACGTTCACACGAGACCGCTCGAAAGCACTGGAGACGCTGTAGTACATATGCCGGGCCTGTAAGTGGCGCTGTACTCTTGCCACAAAAGCAGCGAAGAAGACTTCCTGCGCATTGTTGCCATGGTTGCCCTTCTGTTTATTCTCCGCTGTGGCTCTTTTTCTCCCTCCTCGAGGCAAGCGTTTGCTCCTGCTGTAATTCTCTCCGGTAGCAGCAGATGAAAAACACAGAAAAATACTTTTTTGATATCGATTTCAGTCCGTTTGTGTTATCGTCCTCGTTTGGCTCCAGCCTAAAGTGGAAATGGGATAGGTGTCAATAATTGAGAATGAATAAATCATGATCTGTTTGTGCACAACGTGGGAAAAGCACTTTTAAAAAGGAGGATGTGTGTGCGTGTGTGTGTGTGTGTGTGTGTGTGTGTGTGTGTGTGTGTGTGTGTGTGTGTGTGTGTGTGTGTGTGTGTGTGTGTTTACATGAGATCCATTTTAATCCATGCATGCTGTTTTCATTAATGCGTCATTCATAAATGAAACTGGATTGCACATGTTATTTTATTCTATAAACTGTATCACATAGTCAATAGTTTGCACATTACATGTTTCTAATTTTATACAGAAGAAAACGAGATACATTTAACATATTTTATATTTATAGATCCCAACTTTTTTAGTACTTTTTCTTTCAGTATACGTTATGCACTCATGTAAAAAAGCAGATATTATGGTCCACCTGGAGTAAATTCACAAGCTACCTTGCAGTATACAAAGTCATTAAAACTAACTGCACCTTTAGCAGCTTTGATAACACTTCAATCAGAGGTGGGAGAAGTACTCAGACCTTGTACTTGAGTAGAAAAAGAAAGTAGAAGTACCAGAGTGAAGGAATACTCTGTTACAGAAAAAGTCCTGCATTCAAAATGTTTCTCAAGTAAAAGTAGAAAAGTATNTTCGACCATTTCCACCAGTTTTCGACCATTTCCACCAGTTTTCGAACATTTCCACCAGTTTACGACCATTTCCACCAGTTTTCGACCATTTCCACCAGTTTTCGACCATTTCCACCTGTTTTTGACCCTTTCCACCTGTTTTCGACAATAAAAGTAGAAAAGTATTATCATCAAAATGTAGTTAAAGTAGCGACAGTAAAAGTAGTGATTGTGCAGATTGGTCCATTCCAGAATAATATGATATGTTTTATAATGATTGATCATCAAAGTGTTCTCAAAGCTGGTAAAGGTGCAGCTAGTTTGAATGACTTTGTATACTGCAGGGTAGCTTGTGAGTTTACTCCAGGTGGAAAGTCTGATTTAAGACTTGATTATATCACACATTATTAATCCAGATCTATAAAGTAACTAAACTTCAATAAATGTAGTGGAGTAACTCAAGTAAAGTCAAAATTGTACTTAAGTACAGTACTTTACACCTCTGACTTTAATGCATCAATAATTATAATCAAAACATATCATATTATTCTGAAATGGGCCAATCTGCAGAATGACTACTTTTACTCTTGGTACTTTGACTTGTAACAGAGTATTCCTGCACTCTGGTACTTCTACTTTAGTACAAGATCTGAGTACTTCTTCCACCTCTTTTGTCCCTCCCAGTCTGCCGTAGCCGCTTTTATCATCGGATACCGGAAGCCGTGAGGTCCTTTCCCCCGCAGACTCCAACATGGTGAGCTGTTCTTCCTCATGATTCCTCTCTGAAATAATCACTAAACATCTCTTTTTACCGCTATATTAGCACAAACATACAAGTCCTAGGTTGAAACTCCACATCTTATAAACGGATCGATGTCTAAATTGTAACGAAAAGCTTCGATGTTTGCTCTTTATTGATGATTTAAAAAATGTTCTCATCCTACTTTGGTTGTCCACGGGCTCGTTAGCATTAATGTTGCTATCACTGTTAGCTTGTCAATTTAACTGAAAAAACTGTTATACAGTATTGGAAAAGCCGCGTTCATTGTGCGCGATGTGTGCAAATTGAGTTTTATTTCTACAGTGTTAAAGTCCTATGTTAACAAACTCAATATATTAATGCTAAATATGCGGTTATGTTAGCATAACTAGGCCGCAGCCAGTTATTTTGCGGCATGTTAGCACACAATGCTAACATGGCTAACCCTAGTTTTAATGTCTATTTATTGGTGTTTTCACCATTTTATAATCCGGTATTATACATTTCTGGTTCTGGTAGTCTTAAGGACGTTTTGAAGTGGTTGTTGTCCCGTTATTTACCCGGTTTTGTCCTCTTTTCCTCCAGGCAAGAGGACCGAAGAAGCACCTCAAGCGCGTCGCAGCGCCAAAGCACTGGATGCTGGACAAGCTCACAGGAGTCTTTGTAAGTAACAACTTCTAACAGTGTATGTATTGATAATAATGTGTGGTTTTAATCTGCGATAACTGAAAGTTTAATTGTAGCTTTCAATGTTGGGGTCTTGTGTGCTTCGGTATGTACAGAGGCATTGAAAGCTAACTTCATTATTGGTCTTTCTAAGTAACATGTTCCT